TGTGAGAAGGTCACAGAGTGACTTACACAAGCTCATAGGCTATAGGACAGAAGTACACATCTGCACGTGTCACTGCACAGAGCCCCACAGGCAGCACACAGAGAAGGCGCAGTCCAAGGACCGCCTGACACATCTAAGGTGCACACCTGCCTGGCTCACAGAACTAGATGCTGCTTGGGCGAGTCAATGAGTGGTCAGTGAATGAGACCACTGTACTATGGTCTCATAGTGGCCGTGTACTATGAAAGCCTTTGTGGACATTACACACTTAATTGTGTTACAACATTGTATGGTCACAGTATCACAAGGTGATAGGAACTTTTCAGTTTCATGATCACCATGGGGTCCATGTAAACCAACAGGTCTTCAGTGGTACAGACAGTTAAGGACTCTGAACCCACAGGGAAGACATTTCTGCCAATACTCATTGCAAAGGTTATAAACACTGACTTCATACTTGGTGCCAAAGAAAGATTCATGAAATTCCCAGAACACTGCATGACAGGGCAACATCCCCTTCAGCCCTGATCAGATCTAGCAGGGCAGACAGACCCACTTCCCAGAGCCAGGCACTCACCTCCACCCTCCTGGCCTGGATTTCCTGCATGGTGTCTATGCTTCCTTGATTCCACTCTGCCCACATCAACCCAAGGGGAAGGACATACCCCAGCATCTGTGTCCAGCCTTGGCCCCCATGTGGAGGAGCTGTTGAGCATACACCCAAGGCCTCTAACCCACGTCCACCACCTCTGCCTCCTTCTGTGTAATTAATGAAACCCAAAGGTAGTTCTCTAGCAAAAATAAACAAAATCCAAAGAAAACCCTAGTAAAACAGAAAACCTCTGGATCGAGAAAAAAGGAAAACACATCAAACATCAGTAAAATAAAGGTGACATGGAATGGCAGTTAAGGAGGAAATAGTATACACTGCTTCTTCCAAAAATTCTGAAATCTAATGGAAAGGACACTTTTCTTAGAAAGTATGAATCTGGGGCGGTGCCTATGGCTCCGTGGGTAGGGCGCTGGCCCCATATACCGAGGGTGGCGGGTTTGAACCCAGCCCCACCCAAACTGCAATAAAAAATAGCCGGGTGTTGTGGCGGCACCTGTGGTCCCAGCTACTCGGGAGGCTGAGGCAAGAGAATTGCCTAAGCCCAGGAGTTGGAGGCTGCTGGGAGCTGTGACAACACAGCACTCTACTGAGGGCAACATAGTGAGACTCTTTCTCAAAAAAAAAAAAAAGAAAAAAAAAGTATGAATCTGCAGGTGAAACAAAGTAGGAACCCTGCAGGGACTAGCAACCAGGGAGGTGGTTGAAGACCTCCTGGAGCCTGGCCCACCCTATAGGGACATTGGCAGCTCCCAGGGAGGTCTACCTGTAATGAATAATCCCTATGGGGATTTTGTCAGGGAGCACAAGCAGCTAAAAAGTTCTCAACTTAGTCCATAAATAACTCTTATACTAAAGTGGACAATCATATTTGAAATAAATTATTTACTTTATCATGATAAGTACGAGTTATCCCCCAAAAAACAAACATGACCCAACATTTAGAAGATATTAATGTAATTTACCACATTAACAGCATGAAATGGAAAAATCACAGATTCCTTCCAAAGTAGCTGTGAAAGTGGCTCAGCACCTGTGGCTCAAGTGGCTAAGGCACCAGCTACATACACCTGAGCTGGCAGGTTCGAAT